GGAAATTGAAGTGCATACATCTTAGTTACCAAGGTTGGGAAACCTGATGTACCCTACATTCAAATGTTTATAACTTTGGCTTCCCACCTCGGATCCTGAGCTTGGGACTCTGCTTCTTTTAAGAACTGGATTTGTTTAAACAACAAACATGTGCTAATTGAGCAAGTAACATTTCCTCCCTGTTTTACTTTCTTCAAATGGCTGCTGCTTAAGCTCTGTTCCTGTACCACACCCTGTTTCTAAACAATCTCTCTTATCAGATTCCAAGACCCCAGGCATTTAAATATACATAAAAGAAAGTCTCTCACATAGCTTTGAAATATGTATGAAAAAAACCTCAATAAAACTTTCAATCACTGTCAGCCTCTCCCATATAATAGGCACAATAACAGCAGCTTCAGTGATCATGTATACATGCAAGTTAATGAGATATCACAGATCAAACTCCCACAGTAACTGGCAAGATTCACCTTCATGTAAATGGCATGATTTTCTCCTCATGGTTAAGACTGCCAGGCAGAAAAAAGCATGTATCTGAGCAGTGTTGTTAAGGTCCACACGCTTGTCAGCTTGGACATGTTGTGAAAGAACATGTGTGATCAACACTCAGAGTATCGTTAGGTGGCTGACATCCTATTTTGGATGAAAAGGTGTGGTGATGTTGTACAGAACCCATCTGTTCTAGGATTTGCTTTAACTTAATTTGTCTATTTTTTTAGCTTAGATTGTCTAGGGTGATCAATAAAAACAAGCCAGCTCTCAAGCAGAAAAGTTCCCTGCAGCAATCCAATTTTTCTAGCTGCAGATGCCAGAAACTGAACCCGCCCCTTCCGCCTGGAAAACTTGCTCAGAAGCACCTGTGATTTAATTTGTACATGACATCCCCTTGGAACAAGTGCAGGGGATAAGTTTTCTTGCAAGTTGATTATTCATGTTCAGAATTACAGGCTAATTTCTATTCAGTTGCATTTCATTTTACTCCTGACTTTCCATTTTTTAAAAAATATATATATACAGGGTTGCAACTGGATCTCCAAATATCAGGACTGGGCAAGAACATTGCCAGAAAGAGATTAACTTGTATGACTCACAAACACTATGCAGGTATAACGGGCACAACAGGGTTGGGGGATGTGGGTGTGTAAACGTGTTCCGCCCCAATTTTCCCATGCACAGTTTCTTTACTGATCTTTGCACTGATCCTCCTCATTCTGAGTCTGGAAAGCCTGCTTATCTGGTTCTCCAGTCATTAGTCAGGGCTGTAATGCAAGTATGTGTGATCATATCTCTCAAATCTATTAAATACTACATGTTTGCAAGTGGATGCTTTTAGGCACATTTTGATGAAAATTAAAATGAGCTCAAAATGTTTGCATGTTCAGTATTTAAGAAGTTGAGTACTTGAAGGCTGGGGGTCTTCAGTACTAGAGCTGCAAGGAATCGCCTGTGCAAGTTGACCACTAAAGATCAAGCAGCATCACTCAAATGTGATCATATTAAGAGAAGGATCAGTATGGTAAGCTTGGATAGAGAGATCAAGTGAGATACAGTGACATCTTGTTGATACTTGTTGATTTTTGGAGTGCATAGACGGGCTTGCTTCTTCAGATACATTGAGATTGTAGCTCCTTAATTCCCAGTGGACATTCTGGCTGGAAAGTTACAAACAGCTGTTCCAATGCATTTGCAGGATGCCAAGAGGGGGGACGCTAATCTCATCATTCTAAAAGCCATCTGATACCAATAAGTCTTCAGCTTACAGATTCACTTTATGCTGTACATTCAGGATACCTCCATTAGCCATCCTCAGTTAGAATCCACCCTATATTTAAGTGACCTTTATGCACAATAAAAAAGCCAATCTTAACAGGATAATTTCTTGGATCAAAACAGCAAAATAACCAAGACTAACTTAAAGGCAAATGTCTTGTCTGTAGGTTTTCACAGTCTGCTGTCTCAGATGTTTTACCCTCCTTTGCCTAATCATACCTTGGACACAGAGAAACCAATTAGAGACATAAGATCAAATGCCCACAAAAAGCATGAGACATAGTTAATAATATTCAGTGTAAAACTTAATTTAATACAGAGGTAATTATGGCAGTGATGCTGACTGATGTCTATAGCAAGTGGTGGAAAAGCTCAGTAGAGGTTGGATAGTATTTATGAGAGGAAACCACCAGAAATCTCAGGGATTTAGTCTCAACTAAGAAGTAAAAAGATATTCTGGAAAAATGTAATGGCACACCACTTCCATATTGTTACCAAGAAAACTGCATAGATGCAACTCCTTAATCACCAGGACCCAAGGGCAGCTAAACAGATACCTAATCTGCAATTGATGACAAATTACATCTTAGTTATGAAATGTTAATTCTTTTTTTCTACTTCCTAGCATTTTTGCACAGGTTCAAGGTTTCCCCTTCCCCATCAACCTAGTGTTGATCTATCGGTTGTGAAAGACTGACCGGCTTGTCACCAGAGCCTGAGGTCATGGGCTAAGAAAGAGTGACTGGCCTAAAGTCACCCAGCCAGCTTTCATGCCTGAAGTGGAACAGTCTCCTGGTTTCTAGACTACCATCTTAACCACTATACCCCAAAAGCTCTCATTCTATAGTCATTCTTATATGGGACAAGTAGCTATCATCAAAGAATTGAACCAAATTTGATATTGGATTCTTACATAAAAGATTGCTCTTCTGCAAAATCTATTTTGTACAGGTATCTATTTTGCAGCAACCAATTATATGTTTAACCTAGTGGTTTATGTTCTATCTAAGGGTGGTGGTGGAAAAATGTATGACAATGTACAATAAACTCAACACTTAAAATACTCAATTAGCAGCAATGAGAAAAGGCTAACAATATACCTAGCAATAAAATGGTCAAAATGTTATCTGCTAAAAAACAAAGAAAAAAAACAATGCAGCAAAGTAGAAGGAAATCTAGTTGCATAACTAGCAAAGGTTTCTCAAGAAAATGTATAGAAATTTAGATACAGGTAATTTACTTTAGATGTCTTGTGTTGGTTACAATACAGAATTAGTTGAATGTACTATAACCAATAATTCTGGTTACATGAACGTAAAGGACAGACCAAAGGCCTTCACATACAGGTAGTCCTCAACTTACAACCATTTGTTTAGCAATTGTTCCAAGTTACAACAGCACTGAAAAAATGACTAGTTCTTGCAGTTATGACTATTGCATCATCATCAAGGTTACATGATCAAAATTCAGGCACTTGACAACTGACATGTATTTATGATGGTTACAGCATCCTGAAATCATGTGAACAACTTTTGATACCTTTTCGACAAGCAGTCAAGTGGGGAAGCTTAATAGCACTTAGACTTATACAGTGCTTTACAGCCCTCTCTAAGTGGTTACAGAGTCAGCATATGGCCCCCAACAATCTGGCTCCTCGTTTTATCAACCTCGGAAGGATGGAAGGCTGAGTCAACTTTGAGCTGTTCGGAGTGATTCGTTTAACTACTATGATTAAACAAAAAACTTCGTAAAGTCAGGCACAACTCACTTAACAGTTGCCTTATTTAACAACAGAAATTATTGTCACAACTGAGATCATAAGTCAAGGACTACCTGTACTGTGTAGAATTTATCAGCAACCATCCACAGGGCTATTGGGAGTGGGAATTCAGTGACTTCTTTAGAACCACCAATTTTCCAGGTGAAAATCAGCTGCTGGAAACTGCAACACAATTCACTGTTCTTATTACTATTATTGTTATTGCTCTTACGACTCATAATTATAGTCTTCCAGCCCTTTATATCAGTAAAGCACTCTCTTAATTTCATGTTTCCTCACAACCACCCTGTGAGAAAGGACAAAGTGAACTTCCGTAGCTGTGAACCTAATCCTGCCTTTCCCATTTTATTCCAACAGCTGAACCACTATATCATGTCATTGGGTTTTACTGGGGAGTAAACACATTTAACAAATTGGCCTCCTAAACAAAGGAGTAATTTGCCAAACTGGGCTCCATCGCTATGTTGTACTACAATTCCCAGCTGACTAGGAGATCTAATCCAAGGCACCCATAAAGTAAAAGCTGTAGAATTGGCCCCAAAGAAGCTGAAGGCCAGAGAGCTGGTGGCATTACTTGCCTGGGCCTCACAGGGTGGAGGATTATGGGAGCTGTTGTCTTAGCTAATTTAGCTGGGGGGGTGGGAGAGAGACATTGCTCATGCCCAGCGTTTTGCGTGTGCTGACAAGGAAACGAGCGCGCGAACTCCTGGGAGCCCGACCGCTGCGTCTTTGGGGTTTGCCTTCTAATCCGAGTCATTCTTGGCTCAGGCCTCTCCTGGAAAAGCTGCGAAGCTGCCGGAAATTCGCTACCTGTCACGGTCCCCGAGTTCGAATCAGCGCGGGCCTGACTCAGCAGAAAGCAACCGCGAGGCTCCCTTGCAAGGCGCGGAAGGAACGACAGGCACCATCGGGGCAATTGCCCCGAGACGATCGCGGCCGGTGGGAGATCCGACGGTAAAGTTGCACGTCGCCGGTCACCACCGCGCTGGTTTCTCTTTACAGCACTGGGCATAAACGGCGCCCGCCGCGTTGCTGGCTTTTGCCGCGGGGAGATGACTGAAGGGGAAAGGGGGGGGAGAGACATTTAATCGTCTGGCTCTTTATGGAGACTGGCTATAACCACTAGGGGGCCGTCTTTCTCCTAGCTTGCGCCCGCAAAGGTTGGAAGAAAGAAAACAGAGCCCTGATCTGAATGCTCAGCTGGTAGCGGAGGGAGAGGGGCGGAATCTGGGCGGCGGGACGCGGGGTGGGGAAGAGACCATCGGGAAACCCAACGGCCGTATCAAGATCGGGCCCGAAATTCCAAAGCGGAGGTTTGCGAAGCGGCCCCAGTCGTTCCTTTCCTAGCTGGGATATGTATATATATATATTATATATTTGGGGAGGGCGGGGGGGAGGTGGAGACAGAAAGGCGGTCCATTATTTTGGATGGTGGCGCTCAGCCTGTAAATCTGCCAAGCGAAATTGCACCATCAAAGCGGTCTAACTTTAGTGGGTGGGGACGAGGGTGCTTCCTTAAACAGCCCGGAGAAGAGCGGAGAGAACCGGGTTAGGGGCGCGCTGCTTCTTCCTGGGCGGCGGCTGCTGTTGCTGCTGGTGTCGCCGTCGCCGCTACTGTTGCCCAGCCCAGCGCTTCTGGATCTATCGCCTAACACGTGGGGCTCTTTTTTTTTTTTTGCACGGCGGAAACTTTCGAGGGATACTTGCTGCCAACTTAGACACACGCGCTCGGTGACAGCGGCGTGGGACTCTCGCCGTGGCTTTACGGGTGGTGGAATCGCAGCTCCACACGCGGATCCAGGCGCTCTTTTTCGGCCAGGGGTGTTTTTGTGTGTGTGTGTGTTTGTGTGTGTTCGTGCCTCTCTTGCCTTCTCCTGCTGTTGGAATTCCGCCCTTCGTTGCTGACTTTCCGGGGCTCCCGCCGGTCACACACACACACCCCCACCGCCGCCGCTCCCTTTTTCCTTAGAGCAGTGGAAAAAAAAATGTGGCCGGCGAGCCTTTTCCACGAAGCCGCTCTAGTTTTCCCGAGGGGCGGGAGCCTGCCCCCCCTCGCCCCCCCCCCCCAGTGCCTGCCGTACCTCCTCGTTTTTGTGCCGTCCAGTCTAACTCATGAAGATCTTGGCCAGGACTAGGGAGAACGAGCAAGTTCAATCCACAGAAACGCGCCAGGGTTGCTGTCTGTCGTCCCCCCCGCCTTGACAGAAGGTAAGCAGGGAGGGGAAAGGACCGACCGGCCGACTACGCACGCGTGTGCTGGGAGCTCCTCTGCCAGGGTTCGGCTCTTGTCAGTTTCATGGTGCTCACGGGCTGGCGTGAATCGGGGACCCTTTAAATCTCCGGGGGGAGTTTTTTGGGGTGGGGTGGGGTGGGGTGGGGGAATCAATCTCGAGCGGGTTCGATCGAGCTCTCCACGCGGACATCTTTTCCCGGGGAGACGTTCGATGGTCGTCTGATGGGCAGGGCGGTCTGTTTTGCAAGCGGTCGGGTGGCGTGCGCAGGTTCCCCGGGCAGACTCGAACCTGCTTTTCCACACGTTCCTGCAGATCCACCCTTTCCTTCCCCGTTGGGAGAACTACCCGGGTCAGCATAATTCTTTCCTTTTTGTCTTTCTTTTTCTTTTCCAAGGCGCGTTTCTTAAAGAGCAAGAAGCTAATTGGCAGTTTAAGGTGCACTTGGGCTTTTAAAACCCGCCGGCGAACCCAAAACGGGGCTAAAAAAATGGAATGGCGTTATTAAGGTGCTGCTGAAAAAGATCTGTGGCTCCCCGTTTGTACGGGTGTGTCCCCCCCCCACACACTCTTCCCCTGATCATTGTAAGAAGCAACGGTTTCTTTTCTTCGGACGAGCAGCTGGGAGTTTGGGGCTGGGTCTTTGCGGGCGAGATGAGAAGTTTCTGCCTTCAACTGGCCTACAAAGTCCCAGTTCTCGGCTCTTAACTTTGCAGTACGGCTAGGCGCTACCCTGAGGGGAGAGGACAGACGCGGGCGAGGCAAGCAGCCGAAAAGGAGTTTCTATTGTGAAGGTGCGGGGAAGGGTCACAAGGGTCTGGGGTCGGTGAAATAATTCTTCCCGTGTCGGAATATGCGCTTTAAGGAAAGCTGTTCTCCCTCCACACGTCGCCCTTCCTCACCCGCGACACCCAGCCACTGCGATTCAGATTTTCCCCTATGAAATGAAGCACCAGGCGGTATCGATCCCTCGATCCAGCCCAGATGGAGCCCTGGAAAGTCGCGTCCCTTTTAGAGGAAGCACGTGCTTAACTTTTCCTGGCGAACAGTCCCGGGTTCCTAGCAGAAATTAATTTTTCTCTGGGTTGTTGCATTGTGATAGGCCTTCATACCAATTTCAAACGTACAGAATGTTACAGATATTTTTTTAAAAAAATTAACATGAATAAGTACGGATCCCAATATTGATTTTAAAATTTTAGATCTTTTGGAAATATATCAAATGCAACCAACTGAGTAATATTGGCGAATTACTTATTTAAATGTGCTTGAATTGAAGTTTTCCATCCTTTTCCCATGTTCACATGAAATGTATTTTTATGTCTCCCAAATTTGCAAGTCATTGTAACCATGTCTGGTTTGGGGCCTTAGTTCAAGAGTGCCAATATTTATTTTCCCTTTTTTTTCTTTATGTTCTTTATCTTAGAAAGAAAATGAAGTTTCTTTCTCAGAAAAAAAAAATGATAATCATAACTGGAAATAGTATGAATATTAGTGATTGTCATATTGTTTGTAGGAATGCTTTTTAAAAAGTTATTTATGAGCGATGAGGCAGCTTTTGAAAATATACAGTATTCCTAACAACTGTGATTGTTTGGTTTGACACAGTTCTGGAGAAAAAACATAAATGTATTGTATTCTGAATAATAGAAGCTATTTGATTTTACATATCACACTGTGGAAAGCCTTTAAGTAAAAAAGTTTTATAAGCAGAATTTTGGTGAAGGAAAAATAATGGCTGTATAATTTCAGCATATACATATTCAGTAATAAATCTAGTGACTTTAGTAGAAATTATTTCTAAGTAATTGTGTCTAAGACTCTGACTTTTAAAAGTTGATCCAAATGTTAATACCTGGGGGGGGAACGTTATAAATAAACACATTAATGATTCTTTCCATAAATAATGTGTGCCTTATGGTATAATTGTCCTATATCCCCATAAGACTTAACCACATTATAGTATGTACACCAGTGTATTAATCTTTCTGATTTTAAAACAGTCTGACAGCTTTCTATTTTAAAATTTATTTACAGGGAATGAAAAGCACAGCTTTGTATACTTCGTTCAGACAGCACAATAATCACAATCTATTCCATCTGCAGCCTACACCCCATGTCATTAATAAAATAAACTCTCCATCCACTAAAATATAACCATTTATTTAACCATGATCATACCTATTGGTAAACATTAATTAAAACTATTATTAAAAGAAGGCCTAGTTCAACATAGGTTTAAAGAGGCATTTAGTATTAATTGGAAATACAAATATAAATAAAATATATAATTCTGCACAAAAACTTTGAAAGCCAGCTGGGAGGTAGGGAATATTTTACCTTTTATGGTCCAAAGATGTCAACCGAGATCACATTTAAGACCAAGATGAAGAGGCAACTCTGTTTTCATTATATATGTCTATATCTTCTGAATGAACAAATCATTCACGTAATTCTGAGTGTATGTGTTTGCGGGAAATGTCATTGAACTCTAGGATCATGGTGCTAAATTTTAATCCATACTTTGGAATTTAACATTTCGGTAATAGAAACATCTCAAAGGTGTAAAGGCCAAATAAATATGAACAATTTTAATGCCCTTTGTTATTTTTCAAAAAGCTACAGTTTTGGTATTTTGCATTGCTGCTATATTTTTCAAAATGATTTCTACAAAAAAAACAACTATTGGTATTTCTATTGTAAAAATTTTCATACACAAAAATTCAAATAGATTTTAGGCAGTGTTACTTGAATACCTGCAACTGTGACTGTACATTCCAGAAAACTGAAAATCCAAGTGTATTCTGTGAGACCTGATCCATTTGCTAGCGAATGCATTAAGAATTTCTGGTGTCCATTTGGGCCTTGTTCTATTTTCTTAGGAATACTCTTAATATAACTGTCAGATCAACTTTTTCTGTAAAGAAGTATGCATGGTGCAATCCTATGTCGGTTTATTTGGAAATGAATTCTGCTCTGCAAATTTAAGATCTAATTTAAATTTCACATGCATAGGATCAGATTTCTGTGGTGTAGTTCTGAGAAAGAAACTAATCCCATTCTGTGAGACTTACTGCTAGAATAAGTCTTTAGACTTAAGTCAATGTCACTCTTTTTTAGTAAAAAGAAAATCTTTAGTAGGATTGCATGATAAATGTGATTTTACTTTTAAGGTTACTTTTCTAGCTTTTTTACTGTTCTAAAGGGATGCACTTAATATATTAAAAAACAAATATATATCTATTTTGAGATAGATATATCTTTTTATATCCCATATTAGCTTATTAATTGCTCTGGGTAGCTAATAAACAGTAGCTTATGTTTATTTAAATAATAAAAATCCTACTTTTCCAGATCTAAACCAGATCAGTGCCAGAGCAAGAAATATGCTTTATACTTACGTGTGTTTGTGTATGTATTCATATTCTATATAATCTCCCAAACCTTAATTATTTAATAGACACATTTTCCATGGAGGCAAACATACCTTATTTTCAGACCTAGATATTTTCCATCATACAGTAAATCTGACTACAAGAAAATCTGTTTGCTTTGAGAAACAAACCATTTTTAAAAAAATATGATGTTTTTTATTATAAGGATTCATCTCATCATGTAGGAAATTCAATTTCCATCCCTGTTCTCCAGCCTTTGCATTTTATGCACTCAGTAGGAAAATTACATTTCCCATTACCTTGTTCTGGGTTAGTTTTCTCACTTAACCTTAACATGAAGTAGATGTGTGAGCTCAATGGAGGAAGAGAGGAAATGCCATCCTTTGGGGCTACTTACGTCCAATTATCATTGAATTTTCTACTCTAAATTCTCTTAAGAGCAGCATTTCTTGAGAAAAGGCCCTTAAAAACAGCTATGAAAGGAAGCGGATCTTCTTGAAAGTCCTGCTAGGCCAACGCCTGTCAAAAGTATGATGGCATGATCTAGCACACGGTGACGTGTCCTGAGGTATTTATTAAAAATAAATGTAAATTTGTACTGGATTGGATTCCAAACGTTTTGTAAGGTATTCCCGCATAGGCTGAAAATGGATTTGTTTCCAGACAGTGTGTGTGTGAGAGATCAATCGAAAACAATGTGAATGCAAAGTCCTTGGTTAAGAATGCATTCCTAAAATTTCTACACGTGAGAAGGGTGGAAAGACTTTAGAAGGACTCATAGATAATTCTCTAAGCTTAGGTCCTATGCCTGCAATCCTTTGTGTGCTTCTCTGAAGCCCATAGGCTGCATTTACACGGCAGCATTTCCGTAAGAAACGGTTTGAATAGAGTCGCGCTGTAAATCCCCTGAATATTAATATTTTTCAAATTCTGTTGATAGCCTCAAAGTAGTTTGGGGAAAACCAAAAGGGCAAATGTTTTTCAACAATTGTAGGAGCTCAATTCACATAGTAGCTGGAACTCTGGAAGATTAATAATGATATATAAAATATTTCCTTTGGATGCTTCCGTCTTCAGTTTATAATATTCCCTGATCTTGGACTTTTGGATTCGAATAGGGAAGTTTTAAAGGAAGCATGCTTTCGGTTTTCTTTCAGTAGCCTTTTGTTATATTGCAGTGGCACTTGTATTTTTTTCTTTGAAGAAATTCCAGAGATACTAGTAGTCCACTTTTTCCTCCTTACGCCATGTCACTTCAGCTGTTCTTTAATCTTGTTTTTTGTTTTCTACAATAAATGAAGCTGCTAGTAGCTCTGCAGCAAAAAGGAAGAAAACCTAAAAGGGGTGTGGGTGAAAAGGCACCCAACTCATTTGGAGTGAGAAAATGTTGTGCACGTTCATATGTTTCTCTGGTTAAATCAGGAAATTGCACCCTGTTAAAACCATGGAAATGCTATTTTACAATTAATGGAGTCTCCTAGTGAATTCATTTCATGCATCTGTATATTTTTTTCTCACAAAAAACATGAGCAATTCATAAAATGTCATCCTAGTGTATTCCTTCGGGCATCTGTGTAGTTCT